TTATAAAACTGGTTTACTTTTTACGTGTTACTGTACTTGTTTATCTTATGATATTTTATTTTTCTTATTATAAATTAAGAACATAGGTGAGTCAGTTTTGTTTTCACTTGCCTTTCAGGCTCTCAGTGCTGACATGTTTATGGGAGTCTTTTTTTATGTGGTGTAGAACTGGATTCACCATGATCACTTTGGCTGCATTCAGCAGCCTCTGATTTCCTTGTTTGTGTACTGGTTTCCTTTGAAAAGGAGTGTCAGAAATTTTTATCTCTCCACACCCACACTCCCCTCATAGGTCTTCATTGCATGATCTAGCCAGTAGACATGAATTTGCATGGAATTACTTCTGGGGAAGTTTGCCTGAACTATATATGGCTATATAAAAACACACAGCTGCACATCCGTTACCACTGCATACAGATGGGATTGGGAGTTTGGCTCTGGCTCAGTCCCCTCATTCTGTAGAGCTGTGCCCGAAATAGGTGTGCCTATTCAGCTCAGTTAATTTGTATGCTGGGAAGTGCTGTGTTTTTCTCAGTATTTGAGTGTTAACTACAGATGCACATAACTTGAGCAGCTGAAACTTACCTGCGTTTAATACTTGCTGTCTTCCTGTTTACTGAGAGGAAGTAAGTGAGTAGTAAAATCTAAGGAAAGACCTTAGAAACTTGAAAGAAATATTTGAGTGATTTATGTGGCAGTGGTGCCTTAGATGAGGATTCATATTACCTTTGCATGCAGATACATTGAGGAATCATCAAAGACACAACAATGTTCATTTTGCTGCCACTGGCACTCATACCCACGCAGTAGGAAAGAGGCTTTTGGTGGTGCATTTTAGCATACTGATTGAATGGCACTGCTTGCAGGGAGAGTGAACAGGAAGGAGGAGACATGAATGTGTGTTGAGTTTGTGACTGTTGGTGCAGGTTGGGTGTTGCCTTCTCCTCCTTTTGAGGGGCACTCCAATCTGAATGTCAGTGTTCCATCTTTTGAAGTCATCATGAAGTCAAGTCTGTGTTATAAAGTGAGTTGTCACCACATCAAGAGAGGCACCATGCTGCAAGACTTCCCTTGCTCCTGCAGCAGCTTATCCTGCCTGATTTGCAGTCAGCTTCCAGCCTTCCTTCAGGCTCTCCAAACTCATTGTTGTCCTGACAGGAAACCCCAGGCTGGAGCTGACTCTGGAAAGTTGTTGAGCTTTCCTCTTCTCTACCCATGCTGTTGCATGCTCTTATGGGAAAATAGAGAATAAAGGGTTGTCTTATGGGTTGATTTGCACCATTTAGTCCATACATGGTGTGAGTTTTCAGGTGTGAAATGGCTGTGAGCATATCTTCCAAGAGACAGGAGAAGATGGGCTGTGGGGAGGAGTGTCACCAGGGGATATGGCTGGAACTTCAGCCATTTTGATTTTTCTTCCAAAAGAACAACTTCAATTAGTTAGGAGGATAAAGAAAACATAAGTATCACCTCTTGAGAGGAAAAGCTGGGGGATTTATCTTCCAGCCAAGTGACCCTTTACTGTGCTTATCTTGAAAGGAAAGAGGAACATACTACGTTTCCAGTGCCTCTTCTTCAGAGGTCAGAAGTCTAAGTTCTGAGTTGTAACATTCATGAGAATAAACTGGAGCCTTTTAACAAAGCCATTTCACTCCTGCTCCTCATGTGAGCAGCCACAGTGCAGCAGCACCTCTGTCTACAGCACTGGGACTGTCAGGATGAGGATTCCTTAGCTTTAAGATCAAAATACATTGCAGATGGTAATCTCTTATTAATTCAGGGGGAGTACTTTTTAACATGGCTAATAGTAAAGCCCAAGTAATGGAAGAGAAGAATCCAGAGCTCATCCTGTTTCAGTTTTAGTTTATTTGAAAACGTTGCTTGTTGCCATGTTCTGACCAGGTAATGCTATCGCATAATCTGAAATGGATTTGGGATCAACAGGAAGTGACAGCACAAGCAAAGAAGTTTCCACACAACATCTGGCCATACAAACAAATTAACAGCACAAAGCCCACAGTTCTTCCATCACTGGTCTTTCTGGAAATTAAAATATCAATATGAATATTGATAGGTTTTTGCAAAATCATGTGTCCCCTGAAGTTTCAATTAGCATAACAATTGCCAAGTGCTGGTTGGAATGAAGCATTGGAAAGACAGAACCTCAGAAGGTATTTATGGTCCTTTCAACTCAAATTCAATTTCATTTCAAATTACAATTCAATTTCAAATGTCCTTTGGGCATTTTCTGTATTCAGATAAGAATTTTTAAATAATGAAGAAAATACCATTCCATTTCCTATGTCGTATCCATACTAATATGACTTGGAATTATTTGATTTAATTTTCTTAAGTAAAATCTCAAATTGATGTCAGTTCCTATAGCCAGGGACTTCAATACCACTTAGAATTTGCCATGTTGCTTCATGTTCCTACTAGTATGGGGTGCTTGGTCTTTGCTGTCACATATCAACAATCTTAACATATGATTTTTAAGGACCACTACATTTGGTGCACTTTTCTACATATGGTAATGCAGTAACTCAGAAGGAGCACAAAGGAAGAGTATACTGAAAAATACCCAGACTGTGAAGCATACAGTACACAGCAGTTCTTTCAAAAGGAGGAAAACCAAACCAAAACAAGAGGGAGGGAGGAAAATGTCAGTTTGGGCAATAAAAGGTATTTTATTCTCTGTTTACTATTATACCGTGGTAATAAATTCAAACCAACAGGGAAACCTTAGCTTGGATTCAGAAGAATACTGACAAAACTTAGTAGAATGCTACAAACTTTTCTGTAGCTTGAGTGTAGTAATTTCTATTCCCTGAGAAAATTAGGCTCTGCAGCTTTTCACATTGATGCCATATATTAAATGATTCCATATATTCAATTCCTTTTTGCTCAGGGTACCTGCATCCCAAGTATCACATAGGGACACAGCAGACAGTTGTGTCTTTAATGTCATCTGAAAGTATATTGATTTTATTGGATGCTTAGGGACAATTCTATTCCTTCACACTCATTTTTCTGATATTCATGTCAGCAGTTCACTTTCACATTTGCGTTACATGTAAAGGTCTGGGGGATCAGCTGGTGCTGTCCTGGGAGAATGACTGAGTAGGCTGGAGGCTTCTGCTGGCTAGAACTCTGAATGGGGGGATGAATGAGCCTTTCAGAGTTACTGGAGAGGGGCTCACTTAAGCCAACAGGCTTCCTAGATGATAAAGAGTAGACACGATCTACAAGAAAGGGACAAACTTAAAAGAAAAGTACAGAGCACTCATTAGTTCCTACATGGTAGTGAGATGAAAGAGCCTGGTTTTCTCCAGTGTTTTAGCTTTGCTGGTAGCATGCAGTTTTCAGATTGCAGCCAAGCAATGATCAAACTGGACAGGAAAAATGATAAAGCTGCCCAGCTCTTCTGGAGTCCTTCGCCTCTTCTGCAGCAGGTTGCATGTGGCAAGGACAGAAATCTGTTAGATGGGGTGAAATTCACCTGAGCATGAAAGCAAGGCAATTGTTTGTCTCTTGTTGCAGCCCTTCTCTAAATGGTGCTCACTGCAGAAGTGTTAGGCAGTGTCTTTCTGAAGAAATGGGCCTCTGTTTACATCTGGTATTTTCTGCCAAATGGCCTGTGCTAAAGCAATGTCTCATGTAGTGCAAACTGAGGTGAGTTTGTTGTCCTTCAAGGGACAATTTAATGTCTGGTGTTATAATGAATGCTACCCTGTGCAATTGCTAAATCTACTGTGTTCAGAGCAAGGTGCTGGACTGTCTTTAATCCCACTTTGAAGGCCCTGCCTGTGAGCATGCAAGAAGGTTTTGTCAAATGGTTTTATGCACAAAGGAGCTTCTTCTCAAAAGAAGTCTCTGAAGTCAATGACATGTTCTTATTCACAGGAGCTAAAAAGTGCAGTGAACTAAAGATATGTATGCAGGTAGCAAACAAATAAACAAGCTGTGCTCTAGAAAATGTAACAGATACGGATCCATGGAAAATTTGAATAAATAAAAGGCACAGTCCTTGGGAAGTACTGTGCTCCTGCCACTGCCACATGTGCACTGAATCATAGATATATTTACAATTTGAAAGATAGGTAAGAGTCAATATGTAAAAAGATTCCTGAAAACAGATGTTTTCACATCCACATCTATCTCTCAGGCAGCAGGTCTGGAAGGCTGTGTGACCAGACCCTTCTGGCTCCATCTGAGGCTGGGAACTGAAAGCACACGTGTTCGCCAAAGGAGAAAAATGTATTGGGCCATGGTGTTTTCTGTCTTTTCCTCAAATTTCTTGCCCCCAGATGGCTGCTAACTTTATATAATTTGCAGCCAAGGATCCTCCCACAAGGAGCAGGAACAGAGCCCAAACTGATCTCATCCAAATGGGGCTTGGTTCCATCTCCAGACTGATTCATGCCTATGCTAAACTCAGGTGAGCCTTCCCAGCATGCGAAATTCCCATGCAGTTTCTCTCCAAGCCTTCAATGAAAGCTGCAGTGCTACCTGTGATTAGTGTCCCTTGCCTGTTCTCTTTTGAAACATTTTATCCCAAACTCAGGCTATTTGGTTAGATCAGTAAATTTAGTTTAGAAATGCCTGGAGGTGAAGCCATTAGTAACAAGAGAATTATTAATTCCTTACAAAAATCTGATGCCTCAGAGGCACAGCCTGAGAAGCTTCTTTGCCATGGATGACTTTCTAGCCATCTATTGAGATGACTGCCCTTAAAGTACACTTGGTGGCACTTGGTAAACCTGTGGGAGGATGGATTGTAGAAAAATAAGAGATAGTGCTGAAAGCAATCTCACCCCTGAGGAGTTGCAGCTGTACTAATTACCAAAGATTAGGAACAGGCCTGCCCTTAATAGGCCACAGCTGTGTCCAATTAAGGCTTACCCTTAATAGGCCACAGCTATATCCAGTAAGGATGGGTGTTATAAAAGAGTGGGTTAGCTGGTCGAAAGGGGATTTGGGGGTTGTGCTGTGAGGGGGAAGGGGTAGATGGTCGTGTGAGGGACAGTGAGGGTGCATGAGTATGTACCGTGAGGGGGGATGTCCCGTGAGGGGCTGCAAGGGTGAGGCAGTTGTGCAAAGGACAGGAAGGAGTCATCTGGCCGTGCAGAAGAAAGTGAGGAGTCAGCATTGCCCATGAGAACTCACAGAGAAGGTGTGAAGGTTTTACAGTAAGGTAATGACATAAACCATTATGGTGCCAAACATGTATGGAACTTATTACCTCTAAAATTGTCTAAGAAGTTCTCCACCAACCTAGCGATGTTGTGTCATAAGATAATTTGAAAGGAATGCCTGAAAACTTGCGTGACTAGGGTGGTAATGAGAAAAGCCTGTTCAGATTAGTAATGTGTGTACTGCCTGCATGAAAGCTGCCAGTGAAGTTCTGGGTGCTTCAGTGCCTGGTGGTGCCAAGTGGCTGTTTAAATCCATTCAGCAAGAGCGTGTTCTTGTCTGTGTAGCAGGCAGCTGTAGCAACAGACGTGTGAAGGACACAAAAGTGTGAGAGAGATGGACTTTTGGAGAGAGGCTTTAGGCAACGGGCAGATGAGGAGTAACAGCCCACTTGTATCTTTCAAAGCTCCCTCCTGGGCTGGTGTTTTAAAGATGGAAGTTAATACACTTCTGAAGGGGGCTGTATGATAGAGCAGGGGTATTTTTAAAAAAATAAGACTGTGTTATGAGTGTCCACACTATGAATAAACTAAGAAAAAATGGTCTTCGTGTTAGGTAGTGGCTTGCTTTTGCTGGTGTGGTCTCTCACAAAATATAATGCCTTATCTATGTAAGCAGGGTGACTTAGTGTTGCAGAGATTGTTTATGGACAGGGAAGACGTTCCTGAACAGAGAAGGAATAAAAGAAAGCAGAGATTTTAATTTGTTGGTTAAAACAGCCTTAGCACACAAACAGTTATCAAAAAAGTATCTAGGATTATCTTGAAGAGGTGTCCCTCTGTGTCAGACTGGGATAACTTCCCCTCTGGATCTGCATTTACTTCTTAAAGAACCGGTTATAAAAAATGCAGTTGCTGTTTGTTGGTTTTTCTTTAAACATCCTGATTGCTTTTTGATGACACTGTACAAACACAGGGTTAGAATCAAATGCTAGAAATAGCTTCCTAGAACTCAAACTGATTTTTAGATAAGAAAGTAAACATGTGCGTGTGTGCAAGTCATGCATGCATCCAGGCAGAACTAGTTATTTTTATTCTTCTAGATGAAATTGTCTGTAAAAACATGAGGTGCTATTTATTGTTACCATAATTTTAATTTAAAATTCACTTCAGTGACATGAAGTGTTGTCTTAGCTCATTTAACAAGCTGTGAAATGGTTAGAAGGATGATAGAAATGTCTGACAAACCAACCCCAGGTAAAATGTAGTTACTTATATTTGCTACTCCACCCCCAATTTTTCATAATGATGAGCAAAAATGGGTCATCTTGTTAGTCAAAAAATATTAGCATTAGCAAGAAATGTTTCCATCTCACATTGAGGAGAACACATGCACAGCCCAGTTTCATCCCCTCCCTGTGGTTTGGCTTTAAGGGGAACTGGAGTAGGAGAAAAAAATAATCTGGGCTGGTTTCCTTCAGTGCAGCTGTGGTAAGCTTGAAGAGAGGGTGTGCTGCACATCACCTCAGCCATGGGGTGTCCACAGGGTCCTTTGCAGCAAACTTCTCCCCCTGCATCCTTCTACCCTATGAAAATGATACCCTACTTCCTCCTACATGTGAATGAACAATTTTGATCCAACACCACAGTGATTCCACAAAAAAGCATGATTTGTATAAATTTGTAGACTGGCTCTGGGCTTATTCCCCAGGAGCAGCCTTACATCCCTGGAGTCCTAGTACTGGCTGTGATGTGACAAATATTTTTTGTTGCATTATGGCTCTTTTGAGGTTTCAAGGAGTCAAGTTATTTCACAGTGGTATTGCACTCTGAGGGCAGAGGAAGAGACTGGGTTTAGAGAGAAGTTTGGTGGAGGCACAGCAACTAGGGGTGCTGAGAATAGAAAAACTGTCTGGCAGTTCTAAAAACTTAAATCTTTTTATCCCTTTGGATGTATTTCTTTAATCTAAGCACTTGAGTGGATGAACTGTTCAATATTTATTCAGTATCTATTTCTGTAAGAAACAGGACATAATTTGCAAGCCAGATTTTCCTTAAGGACCAGAGGCTTAAAACCTCTGATAGGAATTTCCAGCCAGAAATGGTTGCTGTGTTGCACACATCAATAAATGTATTGATAGTAATGTGACTTTTTTTTACTGTGCTATTTTCATGAAATAACATTTACCTTAATACTTCTTGCTTTGACTCGCTCTTTCTTGGCCTGATCTGTATGACAAATGCCAATTCAGCTGGAACCCAACTCAGGACAGAAAAATGCAGAAAAACTACAGCTTTGTGGCAAGGCAGGAAAAACTAAGGAGCTGCAGATGGTCATAGCCCCAAGTGTGATTGGGAAAATATTGAGACAAACCAATCTTGTACGAATGAGAAACATTTCTTGTGGCAAAATGAGAGTTTGCAGTGAAGTATAGATCCCTATCCATGCTTCTTTGAATATCCTCCCTGAGACTGGATCAAAACTATCCAAATAGTATGTGAAATGCAAAGTGAATTTATACTGGGCTACTGTGCCTCAGTTATTGTGCCAGCTGTCACCTCAAGATGTGCAGTGGTAAGGGTGAGTCACTCCACTTCCTTAGCAATGCTGCACTGCAGGTGCCTGCACAGAGGGCAGCTAATGGTGCTTGGGCTCCAGAGCACATTGCTTTGCTGGTTTTCTCTCCCTAGATACCTATATCCCAGTACTTGGGAAAATCAGACTAAACTACAAACTTGCTTCAGATGGAGATTGTTTCCAAGTATTGTGTTCTGCAGAGATAGCCTCTGTTTTTCTCAAAAAATGCAGGCTGTCTGCAAATACTTAGCCCTGGATCTACCTTCAGAAAAAAAAATGCCAATCCCAAGAGCTAACTGGAGAATTGCTCCTTTTTCCTGGTTGACTGCTATCAGAAGTGGGCTTACATCTGTTCTCACAGCAATAGGTGCAAGTCCTTTGTCTAGCAAAAGGAAGGTGATTTTCTGACATTATTTTCTCACATAGGAATTTATATTTTTGATATTGTCAGTGCACTTATTCTCCATTTCAGGTTCAAAATGGTAATCCATTAAATGATCCAGTGACTTGTCACTTGTCACAAGATCAATTGGGAAAAATCCTAACAGGCTTAACCCTGAAACCAGAACATAGAGAGCCCAGTTAGATTCTCCCATGACACAAACTGGTGACTTCACCAGCACATTGCCTAGCAAACACTGAGATGCAGGTGTCTCAAATGGATATTTTATAAGCCAGATGCTACCTGCAGTAAATGCCCAAGAAATCACACCAGGACTCTGTAACCAACAGAGGAATCGTGGTAAAAGGCATGGTAAGGAAGTGTAGCATCTCTAGGAAACCCTCCCTGTATGGAACATCCCCATAATATGGATATGCAGCTGAAAGGACCTCTCTGGGTTTAAACAGCAGTGTTATTTTTGTGTGACCATTTCTCTGTGTGTATAAATGTCCCCTATTAGCAATGGATTCAAGCAACCAATTTCAATCACCTTTGATTTTGAAAGGAATTAAAGATAACCTCATTCTTTCAAGTGCTGTAAAGGTAGAAAGTGGAATAGAAAAGACAGACCACATAAATTTTGGAACTTAGGGAAAGGCTGCAAAACTTTTGCTTTATTAAACCCTGTGTGTTCCCATTGTCTTCTCAGCTGGAGAAAGGCTTCTAGTGAAGCTCTCAGTCACCTGTGAGGATCCTTGTCCAACAGGATGCTTCTGATGGGCTTGATTCTGCACCTGTGTGGGAAGCACATGTGAATTGGCCTCAAAGCCAATGTCCCTGGTCTCCCAGGCAGAAACAGAATACATGTGACTGTATACCTCAGTTAGTCACTCATCCACTGTCCTGGGTATGGGCAACTTTAGGACATAGAGGGTGATCAAACTGTCATTTAAAGTAATGAAATGTTTCATTTGATTGTCAAGGTTTTCATGTTTGATATCAGTAATTGTTTTCCAAATTCATGTGGGGATGGATTTTATGTAACTTACTGTTTCTGTTATAAAATGTATTTTGAGTGCATTTATCTCATATGGTGATTCAAAAAGGCTACATTAATTTAATCTGAAGGCATTTTTATACAGTATTGACATCAGGAATACTGGGAGGAGTCAGTTTCTGGTCTCTTATCTGGAATAAGGAAAAATAATTCCTTGTATGTTCTGAACCTTCTACAGTTTCTTTTAGAAATTCTACAGGAACAGGCAATGATCAACAAAATAGTTCATTGAAGCACCTTGGTATCAATGGTTAGTTGATGGCATCATACAGAGATGTGATCCTGGTGCCGTTGGGAGCACTATAGCAGTTGAAGGAGAATATTAAAAAAAAAAAACCCAAAAAACTTGAGCAGAAGATGGACAAGCTGTCAGGGTAAAATTAATCTGAGAAGACCTCAAATAGTAAGAGTTTATTCTAAGCTGTTCTGGTCTCTCTGTCTAATTATCCCACTAAGATAAGGGTGATACATCCTAGCTGACTTAGGCACCTGCCTATTATAGGGTGACATCTTCAATGACTGGCTCCATGACTACCTTAGAGAAGGAACCTATTTCACACTGCTCAGTTATCTGAGATGGAGCCTATAAAGTTTTCTCTTAGCATAACTTTCATCATTACAGGGTTAAAGCTTTAGCTCACTGTCAGACAGATGATTAATTCTCACCTTATCCAATCAAAACTGAACCTGAAGTGCATTACAATAAGGTAGTTACCCATATTTAAGTTTTTGTAGGACTACATGTTGCCTTTCTGCTCAGCTAAGAGATGGAAAGCCTTTCAACTGACCTCAGCAGGCTGAAATGAAGAAATGAGTTACTGAGGCTCCAGTAAGTGGTCAGGTAAACACCCTAAATTCCAGTCTCTGCCCATTTCACCAATCTATAGTGGTACATACCATGGCAATCAAAGCCAGTGGCAATCAATGGTAACAGTTTGCTTTTCAGTGTAAAATTAAATAAGTAGTCAGTTATAAAAAGCCTTTGCAAATTCTTTCCCACGTGTCCAGTACAAATCTTCATAGATTTCCATTTAGGATAAATCTGAAGAGGAATTGAGTGCATTTCTAGTGGCACACTGACGATATTCAAGGAGTAGGTGTAGCAAGCTGTGGGAACTAAGAAATTAAGAAAAATACTGCAGTGCTGTCAAGAGTAGGTGTAGACATTTTGTACCTGCTAAACCAAAATGATGGGCCTAACATTTAAAATAATATGCTGATCTAACACTTGAGCAGAACAGTGATTTAGATAGACAATGATCTTTTCTCTGCTATCCAGTTTCCCTAATACTTGAAGGAAGCCAAATGCTTTGCAATGCAAATCAAATGCCAAATAAAAGGATGGTGTGATTCATCTGAGAAAAATGTTTCACTTAAGAAACCCCAGAAGGCAGGATATAGATCCACTGTTTAATTCACCCTATCCCCTTCTGACTTCCCTGCACTAGCAGCAGTGACTGTGCAGGATTTTCCTTGTTTTGTAGGTTGTGCCTTTGGGTTTTTCTGCCATTCAGTGGAGGTTTGTCTGGAGAAAAAACATGGTTACAATGCTTTCCTTTTTTTGTTGCTGTCTGCTGCATTTACTCTTCAGCTAGGGAGCAAGCAGAATAGTTAGTTACTAGTTAAATCTCAAATCTCTGGATAATCTAGATGGTTTAAAGCTTTCTTCATTTCAAGTTAGTTTTGTTGAAGCTAACTGTTAAGAGCTTTGTTGGAGCTAGACATGAAGTGTGGAAAGAACATCTTGCCTCACTCTGAACCTGTAGAAATGCCTTTTAAAGTCTCAGTCTCACGTTCCTTTAAAAGCTAATACTAGAAGTGTGGTAGAATACAGTAGATCTGTCAGATGCTTAATTAAAAAAATAAAACAATTTTTAAATTTTTTAATTAAGCATCTGACAGATCTACTGAATTATGAAGCCTGATTTTATAATAATAAAACCTAACATCTCTAGAAAGTGAATGCAACAGAGGACTGAAGCAGGTGCAAGAATGTGAGAAGCCAGACTTTGCAGAAACATGTTCCTAATGTACTGGAAAATTGGACATTTGAAGCAGCTGAAGAGCAGGTATGCACTGAGCTTGACAAGATACTATTCATGTTGCTTAGGGCTGAGTCAGACACATTTAACTGCCACTGATTTCTTAAGAGCTCCAATTCAAGTCAGTGTCTGCAGGAGCATGTAAGGGCTGCAGGCACGGGCTCTATGCTACTAGCAGTCACATTTTGGGACTTTATTAAGACTCAGATTTGCTGAACAGACTGTACTGCAAAACCATGCTAATTAGCATCTAAAATTCTTGGACAACTGCCACAGATTCCTGGAAGCTGTCTACACCACCAGCAAAATTGTTTTAGAGATGCTGATTGCCTGAAATAATTTGGGGCATAACTTGTTCTTTTGCAGTGATTTTTATTGTATCCATGTAGTCATCCTGGCTTTTGACAAACCCTGTTGGTGTGTACCTGAGAGCTGTTCTCAGGGGTCTTGGAGGCAGTGCTTCTCCAAAGGTTGAACCAGTGGGTTTGTTCTAGAGTCTAACCTGAACTGCTTGGGATGATGCTGGATAGGAAGTGTTTCAGTGTGTCTTTTTCACAGGTTGTATCAATTTTCTGTGGTAGTGCACTCTTTGGTGAGTTGGTGAAGGGATGTTAGCAAGGCAGAGTCACAGTAATTAATTTCTTATTTATCTCTGCAGTAAGGTTAAAATTTCCATCTGCTCCCACAGTTTACATCAACCTCATCAAAGAGTTTCAGCCATTCAGTCAAGGCTGTAGCCTCACTCAACTTGGGTCAAGCAATGATTCAATGATAATATGGTACAGTCAACATGAGACTTGCACCTGTTTGGTTCAATTCCACTCCCTAAGATGTTACTGTTTCTAGTTTACTTCTGTAGCCTAGAAAATGACCTGTAGATTTTTGAGGCCCAAATCCCATCCCTGAGTGATTCAGGAGAGGCCAGACCCCACTTTAAGAGATAAACCATACTGTAAAGCAAAAGGGCACTCTGATCTGTCATCTCATGTTCTCCCCTCATTTGGTGGATTGCGTTTGCTGTATCCAAAATCCTGAACTCTGCAGCAGAGACAGGAGCCCAAGGCTTATCCTAGGTGCATGAAGCACTGGGATTAGGTGGAGACTTCCCTTTAAACCTTCCTCAAGCTCACTCTTAGCTGCGTATGGACAGCCAATATATCTAAGTATCGTACCTTGATTAAGCAAAAGCCTTTTGGCTCCCTCATGGGATCTCTCCAGTGAACAAACTGGACAAAGTTTTTCTGAGAAAGTCACAGTACCTAAAGAACAGGAGGGAGTATCCAAACAACAAGAAAAAATATGGCATCCATAAATATATAACCTGGGGTAGTGTTACAAAGCAGAGTGATGCAGACTCCCCAAGCAGGTGCAAGAGGGAGCCCTGTATTGCAAAAACCAGGCCTTTTAAAGCAGTTAGGCCTTTATCAGTTACATTCCAATTAAGCACAACAAATGTAATTCAACCAACCACCATGAACCACAATATGAACATGTAATGCTTGTATAATTTGTTTTTCTACCTCTGCTTCGGCTGAGTCACCTTCCCATAGTCCTTTTCTGCTCAGCTGAAGTAACAGGTCTGAGCCATGGTTTTATAAGGGCAACAAGGCCCTTCTTTTCTAAGGTTTTACCTATATGCAACAAGGGTAGGGCTTCCCAGTTGTGGCATATGCCTTGTCAGTGGTATGCAGAGGATTTTAGGATGACATGAAGGTATTTAGTGAATATCTGAATGTCCTAAGAAACATGGCCCAAGATGGAGACAGGAACTCCAGAACTGCTGCCTCTGCCATCTGTGCCTCCAGATGAGACGAGCGCTCTGGAGGGAAGCAGAGCTCCCTGTCCTCTGCCTTGCATCAAGGAATTCATAGTTTTGGTCCAGAAGTTCATGATTTTCCTTCAAGGCTAGCCCGCTGTGTTTGTGCCCCAGTTGTAAATGTCAGGGGTCCAGCTGAACTGCTGAGCACCTATGCGAAATCCTGATGAAGCAATGATGCTTTAAAAATTTTCCCTTCTAACTGCATTTTCTTATATTTTAAATAAGCATATGTTAGCCTGGAGACTTCTGTCTTCTGTAGAAAGCTGTTAGCAACACTGTATATCTCACTCATTCCAACACATTTCGCTTCCCACAAATGTTGACAACCCTGTGCAAAGCAATGAGGATCTGTGCTTCTGACCATCACCTGTCAAGGAGGAATTCAGAGAGGAAAGCCAAGAAATCAGGGATGAGGAATGGGTGGGAGACACTATTTGGCTCATTTGTTTCATCTGCCGAAGACAAACAGAGCTGCAAAACTGGCAGCAGAAGAGAGAGAGAGAGATGACTCCCATTCCTCTCCAGTCAATCTAGTGAATAATTAATGCACTTTTACTCAGTATATAACAGTATACTTTTAACAGTATCGCTACTAGTGCAGCTATTGAAGTACCATCGTATTAAAAATGCATAATTAGATTAACTTCAGGAGCCCAAGAACACGGTTAACATTCAAGGCACGCTTTGGAGCAGCACTGGTTGCTGCCGTGAGCCGCTCCCGGTAAGAGCACTCATCAGCAAGGGGCGCACGGGCCTGTTTCGGGAAAGTAAACGGGGAAGAAAGAAGCCAAGCCAGGTTCTGCCCTGGCCTCTATTACTGGCGCTCGCTGTTGTGGCCATGCACGAGGGGGCTAGCGCTGCCCTCAGCGGCCTGAGGCGGGCCTGCAGCTCTCCGCGCCAGCCGGCGGCCGCGGTGCCGGGGGCGCTGCCGGGGCGGGGCGGCCGCGGCCGTTGAGGGGCGGGAGGTTTGAACGGCGGCGCCGCCGAGCAGGAGGAGGAGGAGGATGAGGCGGCAGCAGCCCGGCGGGCCGGGCGCCGCGGGGCCGGTGAGTGCCGGGGCCGGCAGGGCAGGGCAGACCCGGCCCGGGGGCGGGAGCCGCGCTGTCTCCGAGCTCGGGTGGCGGCGGTGCAGCCGCGCTCCTGCGGGAGCTCGCCGGGGGACGCGGCGGCCGCCCCGGCAGAGCTGCTGCGCTGGGCCGGGCCCACCGGGACCCCCGCTCACGGTCCCTTTCGCAGCCTCTCGGAGCTGCTCTCTTGCACTTCTTTAATCTTTCAGCACCCTTGCACCTCTTTAGTCTTGCTTGGTTTTCCGATTCGTGAGGGTTTTCTTACACCTCGAGTTGGTTCAGAACCCAAATAAGTTGAGCTCGGGAGTGTCTGTGAAACTCTGGCTGTCAATTGTAGCAAATGCTCTTTCTGTTTCTAACTGCAAAATGCCCCAGCTGGTGTCTTGACTTCATAGCCCCTGTTTTAGAAGAGTTTGAGGCATTCAATCAAGGCTGTAGCTCGATTACTGGCTATTTGCTTACTTTAAAAAGACAAACTATACTTACGGGGTTTAGAGTTTGGGGATTTGGAGTTTTAGTGTTTAGGTGTAAACCACTGTGGCAGTAAATCAGAAGTGTACATTGGAATAAGATTCTGAACCTGTGATGAAGTTACCAATTAAATGAAGTAAAATTTCTGCCTGTCCTACCTTCAGCAGTATCTGTATAATTTTTTTTTCAGCTGTTATTTTTGTTTGTTTTGTGACTGCATTACTTTTATAATACTAGAAATTTCTTATACAAAGTAGACTTAGGTGAGGAATACCAAGACACTTTTTAGAAGCATTGCTTAGGTAGCTCCTGCGTTTGGGGCTGAAAATCCCAGCAGCTGTTAACAGTCTCATCTGGATGGTGCTGCCGTTGGTGGGGGAAGGATGGACCTCACAAGGGAAACGGTGTCTTAGTGGACAGCATATGGCAACACAGTGCTGTGCCATTCCCCCCAGTCCAGATGGTGTGCCTGTAGTTTTAGACAGAATGGAGGGGGGGGGAAATGACCAATCTCTTTTGGTAGGCACAAAGAACTTTATATGTTCCCAAATCAGGCTGCTAAATCCTTCCTTCAGATGAGATTTGTATAGTGTGGTTATTTAAGCTATGACCCAACAGCCGTCTACGGCTAGTCCAGAATATTTCATGTGAACCTGGCTGAGATGTAGTGTGGACTGAATGCTCTGTGCAGTTGTTAAAAGCCAGTATGGATACATGCAGATGCCCCAAAGAGGGGTGTTCATTTCCTCACTGTAGGTCTGTAACAGGTGATAGATGTGGAGAGGAGCCAGGGCAGTGCAGAGGCCCACGGTCTTGGGAATTATTAGAGGGAAGTAAGATGTCCTTCTTTGGAGCTTTGTAGCAGCTGATTTGTTAGTTTAGGTTCAGAGAATAAATAATTATTTGTTAGGGAGAGGTGTGGGGCTTGCTTAGGTTTTCATAGCCATGTAAAATTTGACTCAGAAGAAAAGAAGATGAATGAAAGCTATTTACTGCTCTCCTCTTTTTTTTTTTTTTTTTTCATTTTCTTTTATGGGATGGATCCTAAGAAAAAGTGTGAATAAAGATGCAGGTGCTGAGAATGCAAAGGTGTTGTTGCACTCCCTTATCCCCTTCTGACTATGATTGAAACTTTAAAAAACAAACCTGTGAGGGTTAAAAATGGGATAGTCCATGGTGTCATATGGGGTCCCAGGCTTTCATATATCACTGTAGAGAATACCAGCAGAACTTCTATGGAAAATATCTCTGATGTGAGCTTTGGGAGCTATTTACCACCAAACAACCATGAACTTGTTAATTCCAGAGGTAGCAGAGGCACTCTTGTTTAGTAATGAGGAAACGTCACTCTTCTCTGGCCTGCAAAGTATTTGCAATGCAACCCTGCAATACCATGACAACATTCTGTTATTCACTCTGTTCTTCACATGTCAGAAATACTCAGTTTGGCCAGGGACAGCCACAAAACGAGGTAATGTGTATCAGCCATCAGTGGCATCTAGCGGGCCTTTGGGAGACAGCAGTCTGTGGTCCTTCACCTTCATTATTTCCTGGCCTGGTGTGGATTGACCTCTTTGAAGTCGCAAGTGAGGAATAATGCACATTTATGAATGTTTCCTGAGAAACAGGCAGGAAAAAGTTGACTTCTCAGCAGTTTTTATAAAACCTTAAAAACCCTCACTCCTTCAAAACACAGCGATGAATTCCAGTGACTTGCCAGCCATGTTTAGTTACTTCACTGTTTGAATGAAAAGTGTGCCTGACATGATGCCACCACAGCTGTTTGACTTCTCAGTTCATGGCCTGATGCAGTTGAGTATTGGGATCAGTCTCCCTTTTTTTTTGCTTCTGTTATTACCTGAATTTCTTATCAGCCATAAGTGAAAAAACCAGATTTTCTTCACTTTTTTAAAGACAGCTGAAGAGGTGATGAGATTGAGTTTCTGATTTAAAATATTTCAGACATTTTCTTCAGTTTAAAGTTTATTTTAGTAGGGATCGCTGTTAGAAGTGGGTTGTTAATTTATAAGCTTTGTTCAGTTAGCCCTCTCTAGGACCATATGTTATTATTCTATGAATGACACATGGAGGCACATAAATTTTTAGTAACTTTCAGATGGTGCAGTGAGTTAATCTTGGTTTAGAATTTGCATGTATAATGGATATAGTAAATCTGTTTTGTCCCATGTTTTACTCATTTGTTCCCGAAGAGAGCTACCATTCTGCATTCAGTAATGTTGCAATAGCTCTGCATAATTAAAACCTAAGAGTTCTCTATCCCAACTGCAGAGGATGTAAAAAATTGAGAATACTCTTAGTTAGTTTTTTGTTTAATCCTTTGGGTTTTTTGCGTGTCTAGGAGTGCGACATCCAAGAGAAGATCAACTTTGAGGTCCGCATGCGGGAGGGGATCTGCCGGCTGCTGGCAGTGAGCTCGCAGAAGGAGCAGCTCCTGCGCGCTGTGAAGAGCCTGATGGTTTGCAACGCTCGCATCCGCGCCTACAGGGCCCAGCTGCAGGGCCCGAAGGGGGAGCCCAGCCCGGGCAGGGCTGCAGAGCAGTGAGTACAGCTCAAATTCAGAGGCAGCACGATGAAGCAGGCATTTACTTATATGAATTTCTAGCAGTCTGTCTAGGAATGTGGATTTAAATCCTTCCTTACCTCCTAAACGTAAATTACTGCTGCCTTAAAGCATTACTTTATAAAAGAATTCCATTATCTTCTTTTTGCTTTAGAAAATCAAATACAAGTCATATTTTCCTGGGTAGATTTTATTTCTGACATTAATTTAGTATCAAGTAACACAACGGACATATTTTCTTGATTACCCTTA